AATTGAATTTAAAAAACAAACTAAGCAAACAAGCAGAACAGAAACGGGATCATGGTCCAGAGATCCCAGATCGTGGATGGATACGTGGAAGCTGCACTAACCTCCCAAAATCAATCTGGAATTACAACTACATTGTAGAGAAACTGGAGAGAAGTCTTACAACTACTGACAGAAGAAGACACTTCACCACAATGAGACTGGCAGGGAGTGTGGAGGAGGCATGTGAGGGCTGGCTGGGCTCCCATGGGCGGCAGCTGAAGTTCCAGAGTGATATTCAGTGCCCAGGGGGTTCCCCTGAGAAGTGTGGAGTCTAAACCCCAAGCTGGGCTCCCCAGCTTATAACACCACAGCCAGTACGGAATCTAGATAACATCTAGCTGTGAAAAGCATCAGGGTTTCTGTATGCCAGGAAGAGACAGCTGTAGATTCAGAAAACCTCATAAAGGCCCAATGCACAAAATTTTGTTTACAGCCACTTATCCAGAGCTCCAGTAGATAAAAAATTATAAGCCAATATTCCTGATGAACACAGATGCTAAAATCATCAACAAAATAGTAGCAAACTGAATAAAGCAATGCATCACAAAGATCATATACTGTGATCGAATGGAATTTATTCTGGGAATGCAAGGTTGATACACTTGAAAATCAGTAAGTGTGATTCATCATGTAAACAAAATGAAGAATAAAAAACACATGATCATATCAATAGATGCAGAAGAAGCATTTGATAAAATCCAGCACCTATTTATGATAAAAACTCTCAGCTAAGTGGGACTAGAAGGAACATACCTAAACATAATAAAGACCATATATGACAAACCCACTGCCAGCATCATACTGAGTAGGCAAAAACTGCAAGCATTGCCCTTAAGATTTGGAAAAAGACAGGGATGCCCACTTTCACCTCTCTTACTCAACATATTACTGAAAGTCCTAACCACAGACATGAAGAAACAATGAAAGGCATCCAAATTGGAAAGGAAGAATTAAAACTGTAATTATTTGCAGATGACATGATACTGTACATAGACAACCCCAAAAATTACACCATGAAACTACTAGAACTGATAAATGATTTCAGCAAAGTACCAGGATACAAAATGAATATCCATGTATTAGTTCCATTTTTATATGCTAGTAATAAACTAACAGAAAGGGAGATTAAGAAAACAATCCCATTCTCAATCACTTCAAAAAGAATAAAATACTTAGGAATAAACTTAAACAAGGACGTAAAAGACCTGTACTCAGAAAACTATAACACACTGAAGAATGAATTTGAAGAAGTTACAAATAAATGGAAGCACATACAGTGTTCACAGACTGGAAGAATTAACATCATTAAAATGTCAGTATTACCCAAAGCAACCTGTAGATTGAACACAACTCCTATCAAGATTTCAAAGACATATTTCACAGAACTAGGACAAATATTTCAAAAATTTATATGCACAGAAAGCCCCACATAGCAACAGTGATCCTGAGAAAGAACAAAGTTGGAGTAATCATGCCTCCTAATATCAAACTATACTATAAGGCCAGAGTAATCAAAATAGTGTGGCACTGGCATAAAAACATGCACATAGATTAATGAAAATGAATAGGGATCCCAGAAATAAATAGTCATTAATATTCAACAGTGGAAGAAAGCACATACAATGGACTAAAAGATAGTTTATTCAACAAATGTTATTGGGAAAATTGGACAGGTACATACAGAAAAATGAAAGTAGACCATCTTCTTATGCCACACACAAGAATTAATTCAAAATGAATCAAAGACTTAAATGTTAGATCCAAAACCATAAAAATCTGAGGAGAAAACATAGGCAGTAAAATATTGGACATTGCTCAGAACAATATTTTTTCTGATATTTCTCCTCAGGCAAGAGAAACAAGAAAAAATACACAAATAAGACTATCAAACTAAAGAGTGCACAGCAAAGGAAGCCATCAACAAAATAAAAAGACAACCCACTGAATGTGAGAACATATTCACTGATACATCTGATATGGGATTAATATCTAAAATTTATAAAGAACTTAACAAAACTCAACACCAAAAAACACTCTATACAATTTAAAAATGGGTAAGGGACCTGAATAGACACAGCAATACATCACAAAAGGATATGGGCATTTGCCCATATCCAAAGAGGACATACAGATGGACAACAGACAAATGAAAAGATTCTCAATGTCACTAATCATCTGAGAAATGCAAATTAAAACCACAATTAGATATTGCCTCACACCTGTCAGAATGGCTATCATCAATAAATCAACAAACAAATGCTGGAGAGGATGTGAAGAAAAGGGGAACCCCTTTGCACTGTTGGTAGGAGTCCAGATTGGTGCAGCAACTGTAGAAAACTGTATGGAGTTTTCTCAAAAAATTAAAAATGGAACTGCCTTATGACCCTGCAGTTTCACTTCTGGAAATTTATCCAGAGAAACCTGAAACACTAATTCAAAAGAACATAAGTAACCCCTAGGTTCATTGCAGGTTTATTTACAATCACCAAGATATGGACATAGTCCACGTGTCCATCAGTAGATGAGGAGATAAAACAACTGGTATATTCACACAGCAGAATACTAACGGAATACTATTCAGCCGTAAAAAAGAAGAAAATTTTACCCTTTGTGACAGCATGGATGGACCTGGAGAACATTATGCTAAGCCAGTCAGAGAAATAAAAATGAAGTATGATTTCACTCATGTAGAATCCAATGAACAAACTGGACTGACAGGCTATTGACAGATTCATAGACAGAGAGCAGGGTGACAGCTAAGGGGCAGGGGGTGGCAGGCAGCAGAGGGATTGAGCAAAGAGAAAAAAATGACTCATGGTCATGGTGGTGATTGCCAGCAGGAAGGGGGTGGGTGGATGTGGAAGAGGATATAAGGAGGATAAATGGTAGTGGGAAAAATACAATAAAAATATATTTTAAAAAGAAAATACAAAAAGGGAAAACTAGAATCTAAGAAACTGTAGGAATGTTTGCCCATTGGAGATGGGTCAGGAGAGGGATAGAAAGAACAGAGGATGGGAACAGTATATATGTTGATACATAACATATAAATTTCTATCTATTTATATATTTTTAAACCTGGAGTTTGAATTGATATCTTTAGTTCTAGTTTTACATTGTAGAGTTCTTTCCAGACACTGCTTTTCCACATACATAGCACTTTGCTCATGAGAGAGGAGTCACTCCCTTTTCCTCAATGTTTGCTCATTTGCTGAATCCTTGGATACATGGGAAGTTGATTCAAAATCTCAAACTCTTACGATTGTTTATGACACACTAACTACAGCTTAAGATTTCATTTCCAGTTTTTTTATAATGCGAGTGTATTCACAAAATAGTGTGTTCCAGAATTAATTATGCTAGTTATTTCATTTATCTTTTTCATCCAATTATGTTTTTATTTTGAAATGTAGTCAGGTTTGTTTTCTTTATTCTGTTTTGCTTTATGCACCACCTCTTTTATTTTGTGTGTGTGGCAAAAGACAACATGGTCAAAACTATACAAATAATTATACTCATCTCCTCATATCTTCTATCCCTCCTTCTGTATATAAACTTTCTTATTAGTTTCTGATTTGTTCTTCCTGTGTTTATTTCTGCTCAAATAGGTGGCATATGTATATTTTATTTCTCCTTTATTTTACAAAAAAAATGTAGCATGCTATAATTGTTCTTTTACATGTTGCTTTTTTTTTTCATTTAACAATATATCCTGATATTGCTCCATATTGATTCACAGATATTTTTGTTCTTCTTTTTCTGCAACTGAAAAATACTCAATTGCACTGATGTTCTGTAGAATTTCCTTCAGGGGTCCTAGAATGAGATATTGGTTATGAGTCTTCTAACTGTCACTGAATAGTGTACCTCACATGGCCAAAATGGTCAATTTGATGTTTTGTAAAATAAACTACAATTAAAAAAGGAAAGAGAAGGTAGTAAGTAATTTCTGCATAAAGCACAGAAAAGAATGATAATAATTTATGAATAATAAGAGAAAGATTAAATAACAAAATATATAATCAAAAGAAAGAGAGACTTGATGTGAAACAGATGTCTCAAGAGAAACCTAGTAAAGCAGAAAATATAAATTGAAATATGATTACATTAGATGTCAATAGATAATATTCTCCAGAAATATAATAATTGTTGCTATATATAAGAAGAGCAAAATCTAACTTTACACTGTTAACAACAAATACCTTACAGATGTAAGGGCATAAAAGTTTAAAGTGATAGAAAAGAAATACCATGTAAATACGAACCACAAGAAAGTGGAACCCTTACTACCTCTGCTACACTACTATGCCTGTCTCTATTTCTATCTCTGTTTATAGAGATATCTAAAGACAAGATATAAAGTATACTTATGTAAGAAAATGACACAGTGTTATAGGAGGACCGCTGGCTAGAAATATTTCTGAACTATAAAGTCATGTGCTGTTCAATACATTTTTAAAAAGTCTCTCCCTTTTGTTAAAGAGCTTACTTTATACCATATGCCAATTTTCATACTGAAACTATCCTGATCATGGCTATTTACACTCTACCAACATGATGTCACTGAATGAGAGTTGGGAGGACATGCACACAATCGGCTTGATCCAAGAAAAGCCAGCCAAAAAGAGTCAGGTCAAAAAAACAGGGGATCACCAGGAGTGGATCATGGTGTTACGTTGGTGTATCCTCAATAACAGAGGACAAAAAGTACATAAGCAAAAACTGACATGTCGACAGGCAGAAAAACAAAAACCACAATTATAATTCTGCAACATGTTTGGCGTAAGATTTCATATATTTCTTATATGAAATGATAAGGAAAAATTGTCAAACAGGAATAATGATTTGTTAACAATCCACGTAGGAAACATGACATAGTTGACATAGTAACAGCACATCTACCTGACAATATGATGCATATTCTATTAAAATTATATGGGGACGTCGACATTAAAATGATATTAGGAGCTATACCTCACTCTGCTCCGGACTACATTAAGAGGATTTAGTGATTGCCACTTAAAGAGGTTAACCCTGGTGACAGACGTTTCTAAGGCCTGCTTTATATCCCTGTTCCTCAGGCTGTAGATGAAGGGGTTCAGCATGGGGGTAACTACCGTGTACATGACTGAAGCAATTATGTCTTTGGAATCCCACGATGAGGACAAAAAGTAAACACCTGCAAGTGTCCCGTAGTATAAAGACACCACGAGGAGATGGGAGCCACAGGTAGAAAAGACTTTCAACAGTCTCTTAGTGGACGGTGCCCTCACAATGATCGTCCCTATACGGAGGTATGAGCCCAAAACAGTAGCCAAAGGCAGGAAATAAAGCACTCCTCCCTCGGTGAAGATGACCAGCTTACTGAGGGAGACGTCTGAGCAGCTCAGCTTCAGGAGCACAGTGAAGTCACAGAAGAAGTGGGCGACGGAATTGTCAGCACAGAAGGACAGTCGGACCACGAGGAGGGTGTGCACCAGTGCATGAACACAGGCAATAATCCAGGAGGCAGCCACCAATAGCACACACAGCTCCTCCCTCATGATGGTGGTATAGCGAAGAGGGTGACAGATGGCCACATACCTGTCATATGCCATGACACCCAGAAGGAAATTGTCAAGACTCCCAAAAAGTATGAAAAAATAGAGCTGAGAAATGCATCCCACGTAGGGGATGGATTGTTGCTGCGTATGCATGTCTGTAATCATCTTCGGGACAGTGACAGATGACAGAGAAATGTCAGAGAAAGCCAAGTGGCTGAGGAAGAAGTACATGGGCGTGTGCAGGTGGGAGTCCAGCCTGATGAGCAGGATGATGAGGAGGTTACCCAGCACCGTGGTCAGGTACATGCCTAGGAACAGGGCAAAGAACGCGCCCTGCTGCCCTGGCGGGATGGGGAGCCCCAAGAGGAGGAACTCAGACACATGGCTCTGGTTCTCAGGCCCCATGCAGCTCTTCTCTCTGCCGGGGACGGAGGAGGTTTGGGAATCTTCCGTATCCTAGAGAGACAAGAATTATCACTACCGCATGCTGTAACTCTCTGGGAAAATCATGAAGATTTTCTACACATTTATTAATTTCTTAGACCTGTAAAAGTATGCACCTTTGCTGTAACCCAGCCTGGTTCCAAGGTGACATTGGAACCCCTACAACCAGCAAAACTTCACTGCACAGAAGCAGGAGGTGTTCACTGTTTCATCAGCTGTTTAGGGAACACCGAGTCCATGTCAGGACGTCTACTAAGGACTGAGATCCGTCAGTGAACAAGTAAACCAGGTCCCCCTTCTAGGAGTTTAGATCTCGATGAGCATGGAGGGACAATTTCTCCACCAGACCAGCGCCATGCATAATAAATCACTGCGGCAGAATCAGGAGATGAACCCAGAAACCTGGTATCAGTTGGTTCTGCCTTAAACTAACGTGAGGCTCCAGGGCTGAGGAGATGTGGGAGCGATGGCAGTCTCCACGTGAGAACCTGCCGAGTCCAATCGACCTACAGCTGCAACCTCAGGGACTCTCAAGAAATTGTGGGCATTTAAGCCACTCGATGCCACAATAGCTCCCAAACCAGAAAAGTCCAGAAACTTTCATAAGAATGCTGAACATTTTGGTGGCATCTGGGTGTTGGGCTAAGGATTTTACGTACGCTTCCTAATTCAATCCACTCATCTGACTCACATTTCCAGAATTTAAGACCACGTCACAGCTGCACCAAGAATTTGTGGTCTTTTGCCTATGTTAGCTTTTAAGAAAGAGAAACATAAATGATACAAACTCTGTAGGCACACGGCAGCAGGGTGGGGGACAAAATGGCACACACATGTGTGTATCTGTGTCTGTATTACATGTGATAAGTATAAACGATACATATTTCTCTTTTCTGAGATTTAAAAATTACCAAGTTATAGCCGCCTCGTGGGGTTCAGTCTAATACATTTGGTTGATCAGAACCCATGCCCAGAACCATTTAACATGGAATCTTCCCATTTGATGGTTAGGGGAGCCAAGCACAATGTGTAATTTTAGAGCTGTGTGGACCCAAAGTTGTCCACAATTTTCTTAGTGCCCTGACTACATAATTTCATTCCTTCATACTAATATACTTTTCAAGTGAAGGAAAAACTATAGAGTGTGTTAACTTCTTTGTATTTATCCAACAACTGTTTACTGAGGACCTGTATAGGACACCAGGCAAGTGTAATTCCTCCCATCTGATGGGTGTGGAAAGAGAGCCTGGGACTGAAGCAACTTTCCCAAGGTCTCGCCACCATTTCATAAGTGGTGATTCTGCCCTATTCCTTCACACAACAGGATGTCTGGAGCGCTTTTCTTTGTTTTTCTTTTTATTGGCCTATAAGTTTAATAAAACTAAAAGTTTGCAAAATTGTGAGCAGCTCAGTCACACTCGGGTACGTGAAAATGATAACCGATTTGTTTCAGAAACGGGGTTGCTTAGAGTTTGGTTTCTTGAGCTAATGGTGCCCCAGAATGAGGACACTTAAGGAAACACATGAGGTCATAGGTGGAGATCACACACACATAAACACACAGAGTGCTGATCTTTGAATTTCAGTCACTTGTGACCAAGATCCCACCCTAAAGGAAAGAGAGCCAATACGTGGTTCTGCTCAAATACTCATATGTTGGATCGGACTAAAAGCCCATTACACTTTTTCCATAAAATAAAAAGATACCTTTCTCATGTTCATCACTAACTTCATTGATTTGACTATTTTGAGTAAGTCAGCTATCTTCCACCGTTGGCTTCAGTGGGTACAGACCAGGGGTGCTGCTAAACACCTTCCAACACATAAGACAGCCCACGGCAAAGAATATTGGGCCAGAATGTCCATCGTACCAAGAAACTTTGCAAACCAGTTTTGACACGTTCAATCAGTCACAGCACCTTCTCCATACACTGCACAAACCTTTTTCTGTGCATCATTTGCAGTCTCACATTTCTTGAGGAAATAAAACAGTGTAGTCCAAAAATGTTGCATATTTTTGCCCATCCTCAAAATTAAAATGGGAGCACAAAAATTCACCAATTTTGATAAGTCTTTAAAAATGCACTCTGATGTCACAGCTGTCACAGTACAACCTAACAAAATTGTTTCCGATGAAGTTAAAGGCACCTAAGCACTACCAAGAGCCATCGTACAGAAAAAACTAAGCAAACTTTTTGGCCAAGCCAATACGTACATACAATCCTGAGTAACACACAAAGTGAGACATACACACAACACAATGATGGAGCACTCACCCGCACACCCTGACAATGCACAACAACACAACTGACTCATGACACACCTGGTAAACACTCAACTCACCACGTACACAAAACTCAGACACCATACACACATCACCAAAAGCACACAAGACCACAAAACATTCAAATTATCACAAGAAACTCACTCCAACGACACATATGCACACCCAGCCACACACTCGCTACAATAAGGAGCACACACACCCCTACTAATAAAGAGGCCATGCTTCCGCCCCTTCTGACACATCGCCTTGTCGGGGGAAGGCGGTCAGCGTGGGGCAGAGAAGCCTGTTCAGCCACAGGTGCACTCATTAAACCACCACCCACACCCGAGGCACATGGCCACACACATGGTAACATACAGAGAAATCCAAACGACACACCCTCCTGCTGTCACACACGAGCGTGTGACCCACGGGCTCAGCTTGCACGTGCACCAGCACACGCCGCTGAGCAGAGGTGCGGGGTCCCTCTCTGACCTGACCGTGGCTCCTCTGAGGTCTGGCATCTTCCTGTCCAGTATGAGATCAACGAGCGTCACTCCCGATGCTCAGCTGTGACGCCAGTGCTTACAATCGCAGGCGTGAGTCAGGAGCCCCTAGTCGCACGCCAGGGGACCGATCTGGGGCCCAGGGTTGGGTCAGACTTAGGAAAAGAGTCAGGCTGTGAGGCAGGTACGTAGCACACACACACAACTGTCCAACAGCATGTACACAAGCGTGTGAAATATATGCAGGCATACACAGTCATGGACACACAGTCATGGACACAGACTGATGTATGAACTTACTAGCAAGCAGGCAGAGCCGTATCCCAGTGCAGACATCCGATCCCTCTGACCTGTGCTTCTCTTTGGTGAGATCAAACACTACTGCAGACTACTGCCCTGCTCCTCAGGGCAACACAAGTGAAGGGGCTTCTTGACATATAGAAGAAGCATCTGAGGCCATGGCACTTCTACAGACTTTGACGTAGTTTAAACAGCCCGAGAGAAATGACTCAAAAGATTACACGTGCTTAGTAATGAGAGACTGACACCAAGTCCCCAAGCTTCTGGCTAATTTCTGCCTGCCCTTTTGGGAGCTGTGAGTCCAGGAGCCAGAGGGGCTGGAGACCTAGGGGACAGCGTCCCTGATTCATTCCAGCGATGCCCTGGACCTCCTTCTTCTTGGGCACTGAGCCAGCTGGGAAAAGGATTTTTCAACTCTTTATCTGGAAATGATGTTGAAGGTATACAAATGTTCTATATGATATGAAGAATTCCTGTACAGGCCTCACCCAGATGTCCCAGAGTTTAACATTTTACTATTTTACCTTCAGTGTGCAGGTATGTGTTAATGTATATATGTTTCAGGCTTAGATTTGCAGGAGATACACCACAACACTCGTTATTAGAAAACATAATAATAGTTTTTCCAAAGCCTAGCGTCTGTATCCGTGATCAAATGGCTAAAGTAGTGTCTGCCAGGTTCTCTACTGCAAATTTATCATTTTCAAATTTACTATTTGACCTCCCAATTAATACAGGCCATTGGGGTAGGTAATTCGAAACTACGTAATAGTAACTTTTTCCTTCGTTACCTATCACCCACTATATTTAACATCCATTGGTGACTCTTGTATGACAATGTTCTGCAGACGTGGTCACCAGGTGATGACTTTTCTAATTCTAGCCTTCTATTGTCTTTATTAGTTGTATTTTCCTATAAGAAGTCACTTTCCCTTATTCTCCGCTCATTTCCTTTTATTTACTTATTTATATATTATGGGCTCATGGATTCTTACTCTTTGAGTTCTAATCCATTACCATTTGATTCATTTTGAAGTTTTATGTGCGTTCATTGCTTGCAAGCATTCTAAATGCTCTGAGAGAGCCAAGTAGGAAATATATCTGAAAGAAACAGAAATAGTCAAAACTGGGAACTAGGAAACTAAAGGTTGTTTACCCACGGAAGGTGTGTCAGGAAGAATGGGGGATGGGAACAGTATATATTTTCAAGCCCATGAGTTTGAATTGATATCTCCAGTTCTAGTTTGATGTCATAGAGTTCTTTCCGGCCTCTCCATTTCCATGTACATAGCACCTTTCTCACGAGAGTGAGGAGTCACTCCCCTTTTCCTGAATGTTTACTTACTTATTTGCTGGGTCTTTGGATACATGGGAAGTAGTTTCAGAATCTTGAACTCATGCCACTCTTAGTGACACAGTAACTACAGCCTAAGACTTTCTTTCCAGCTTTTTCTTTTTATTGTAAGAGGGCATAGTCAAAATTGTCGATTCAGTAATTACTTCGGTTACTTATTTTGTTTTCTCCTTTAGTCTAATTATGTTATTAACTTGAAGCATAGCTAGGTTTATTTGTTTTGTCTTATTCTGTTTTGCTTTGAGCACCCCCTCTTCTGTTCATTGTTTTGTGGCAAAAGACACCATAGAGTTGAGCCCGTCAAGGGGGTGGTGTAAGCCGTGGCTGGCGTGTCTCAGTGGATAAGGGGATGGCCTTGATCCAAGGGGTCGCTGGTTCGATCCCCAGTCAGGGGTCATGCCTGGGTTGCAGGTAGGGTCCCCGGCCAGGGGCATGGGAGAGGCAGCCGGTCGATGTGTCTCTCGCACATTGGTGTTTCTCTCACTCTCTTTCTCCCTCCCTTTCCATCTCTCTAAAAACAAGTAAATAAAATCCGAAAAAAAGA